TTTGTAGAGCACTTTTCAAAAACAAGTTACAAAGTACTTTAACAAGTGTAAAGACAATAATACCCAAAAGACAATAATACAAAAACAATACAAGATAAAAGCAAGAAAACATTGAAAAGTCTAAAATACACGTTTAAGATAATATAAATAATAATAATAATAAATAATAATAATAATAATAATAATAATAATAATCCTTATTTGTAGAGCACTTTTCAAAAACAAGTTACAAAGTGCTTTAACAAGTGTAAAGAATAATACAAAAAAAACAAAACAAGATAAGAGCATGAAAAATTAATATAAAATTAGTAAAATACAATAAAATAAAAGGGATAAAATAAAGTCAAATAAGATCGGGAAAGGCTCTCTTATAAAAGTATGTTTAAGACCTCTGCCCGAGGATCTCAAGGTACGTGCTGGTGCGTATGGGACTAAAAGGTCAGAAATATAACAAGGCGAGAGGCCATGAAGAGTTTTAAAAGTGATCAAAGTCAATTCTAAAACATACTGGGAGCCAGTGTAATGAAGCTAAAATAGGGGTAATGTGGTCATATTTCTTTGTTCTGGTTAAAAGCCTGGCAGCTGAGTTCTGGAAAGTCTGGAGTCGATCAATAGATTTTTGGATTAAACAAGTGAAAAGGCTGTTGCAATAATCCAGGCGTGATGAGATGAAGGCGTGTAAAATGGTCTCGGTGTCAACACAAAGTTAACATAGATCGAATTTTTGCTATATTTCTAAGTTGATAAAACATGATTGAACAAGCTTTGTGGTGTGCTGCTCGAAATTTAAATTACTATCAACCAAACTCCAAGGTTCTTTGCCACGGGCTTAATGTGATTTACTAGGGAACCAGCAGATGGCAGTACCCAGTGACCAGGATTTCTGTTTTGTCTGAGTTCAGCTGGAGGAAATTATTTGACATCCATTTTTTAACTTCACAAAGGCAGTTGTTAAGTGAACTCAGCATTCCAGGGTCTGTGGATCTGACGGGCAAGTACATTTGTGTGTCATCAGCATAAATATGAAAAGAAATTCCATGTTTATGGATAATATGTCCAAGGGGAAGCAGATACAAGGAAAACAAAATGGGTCCTAAGACCGACCCCTGAGGCACACCATATTTAACTGGACAGAATGAGGAGACATAGTTGTTTACAGACACACAAACTTCCTATTTGACAGGTAGGATGAAAACCATTCTAGGGCAGTACCAGAGATCCCCACCCAGTGCCTCAGTCTGTCTAACATGATGTTGTGATCAATGGTGTCAAAAGCAGCGCTAAGGTCCAGGAGTACCAGGACTGAGCACATACCTTCATCAGCAGACATTAAAAGGTCATTGGTGACTTTAAGCAGGGCAGTCTCAGTGCTGTGGTACTTCCTGAAACCAGACTGAAACTTTTCAAATAATTTGTTATTTTCCAGTACAGTGAGCAGCTGTTTGGACACAATTCTTTCTAGAATCTTTGCAATAAAAGGCAGTTTTGAAATTGGTCTAAAATTATGTGGGAGGGAGGGATCTAAACCAGGTTTCTTTAAAAGCGGGTTCACGCAAGCCGTTTTAAAATAATCAGGGACACAACCAGTAGATAGGGAGCTGTTGAAAACATAGATCAAATGGGGCCCAACAGAATCTATTACTTTCAGTAAAAACTTTGTAGGTATTACATCAAGTGGGCTGGAGGACACTCTCATTTGTGATACTGTTTTTAAAAGCTCAGACAAGTCGATGGGATAAAACTGGTTAAAACTCTCTTGTTGCTGGTGAGGAACCTCTGAGTAAGAGGCCATGGGTGTAATAGAGGCTCTGATTGACACCACCTTATTGGTAAAATAAGATAAAAACAATTCACAGTCATCATTACTTCCAGCTGAGGCACAAGGAGGGGTTGGGTTTACCAGCTGATCCACAGTCTTAAACAGAAACCTGGGATTGTGTTTATGTGTAGTAATGAGTTCAGAAAAATAGTGTGTTCTCGCATCCTTAACCATGTTATTGTAGTTAATTAATAAATCCTTCAGACTGAGGTCTGAGGACTTGGAGACTGGATTTTTTCCATCTGCGCTCTGCTTTCCTGCATTCCCTTTTTAGGCTGCGAATGCTGTCGTTTATCCAGGGTTGCTTACTAGCTTTAGACGTAGGCCTAACCTTTAGAGGAGCAGTAATATTTAGTGACGACAAGCAGATATGATTGAAGTGATCGACCAGATTGTTGGTGTTGGAATCAGACAGGTGTTGGCTTTGGCTCTGAAAGAATGCGCAAAACTTTGAAACACTTTGTTCATTAAAGATGCGAGAACACACGGAGCTTGGTGAGGCGGCATGAGTAACAGGCGAATCGCAGCTAAAAACAATACATCTGTGGTCAGATATGGTCATGTCCACCAATTCCACAGAGGAAATGCTGACACCCAGGGTAAAAACCAAGTCCAGTGTATGACCACGGTTATGTGTTTGACATGTTGTTTGAAGTTAAAAGAAGTGGCCATATTTAAAAAGTTAGTTGCATTAACATTGTTGGGGTCATCAACATGAATATTAAAATCGCCACAAAGAACAATTCTGTCATAATTTAAAACCAGAGTAGATAAAAATTCAGGAAGTTCTGATAAAAATCCTCCAGGCGGTTTTGGGGGGCGATAAATTATAACAAATATGATGCAGCCCTCCAACTTTAAGAGTGAGAACTTCAAAGGAGTTAAATTCATCACAGCGTACTTGATGACATTTATAATTATTCCTATACACGCTCACTAGCCCACCACCACGACCACTGACCCTCGGTTGACTAAAACAATCATATTGAGGCGGACACAGTTCAGCTAGCTGGCTATAGTCATTCATCTGCAACCAGGATTCAGTTAAAAACATAAAATCTAGATTTGCAGACAAGATAAAATCATTTAAGATAAAAGTCTTACTTGAAAGTGATCTCACATTGAAGAGAGCCATTTTAAATGAGTTTGTTCTGGGTGCTGGAGTTGGTGCAGTTGTCCTAATCCTTAAGAGATTACTATTATTTCTGTGTGGGATGTGCACATTTCGGTTTACTGGTCAATGCGTGATGATGACAGGAATAGAAGTCTGTGGAACAGCACTGGAAGCAGACAGCTTTACATGCCAGCAGGTGGAGACAGTTGTTTGTGGCAGTGAGGCAGAGATCTGTTCAGTGAGCGGTGGTGCGTCCAGGTGTGCTGCATGAATGATTAGTCATTCACGTAAATCATGTGTGGACCGCACCACATGCTGTATGTGCGCAGCTAACATTTCTGAGCCCCGTTTGTTTGTTTGTTTGTAAATAAGTAAAATAGAATAAAATCTCCACAGGAGTACCTTTAAATGTAAATCTATTCTTGCATCAACTAGCAAACTGTGTATAAATGAAAGAAACAGTATTTCACTGCCCTCTCAAAATTTTCTGTTTCACCTGGTCTGAAATGTGCACTGTGGCACCTTGTATGTAACGGTGTACTGACACACTCTATGGGTGGTGGTGATGGAGCAGTGGATAAGCCACATGCCTTTGATGTGGGAGACCAGGGTTCAGTTGCAACACATCCACTAATGTGTCCCTGAACAAGCCACTTAACCCCTAGTTGCTCCAGAGGTGTGCGACCTCTGACATACATAGCAATTGTAAGTCTCTTTGCCTGAAAGCGTCAGTTAAATGACTAATTACAATTATAGATCAGCAAAAACAAGATTTTCAAGGGGTGTTGCACTGCATTAATCAGAAAAAATGCGTAGAATAAAGTTTACATACAGTGCCTATAATAAGTATTCACCCTCTTGGAATTCGTACAGAACAATAAAAACATTACCAGGTTACATGAATACAATTAACTGACATATGAATTTAAAAGAAATAAAATGAGGAAAAAAAACTGGAATAGAAGAAACTATTACAATTCATCCACCCAGGCAGTTACACCCACCTCTCTTGCTGCTCATCATGAAAACATGTCAGTTGTTTTTACATTAACAGTCACAGTCTATTTTTTAACTGACTCGATTTACAATAAGAATTGTTTTTGCTGCACAGTGGAGCCTGAGAAAAGGACAGTTTGGGGAGTAACTCGTCATTCAAAAGCACAATGCTTGATGGACATGTATGTGAACCCCGGCAGCATCTTATTGGATATTGGTCACTTGACGCCAAAAATAATGAACGCTGGGACACTGAAAAAACACACTGATGTATGTGCCTATGTGTTTTTGATTACAAAGGGAGCTTATTGGAACCCTTTAACTGACAGCATCAACCGAGTTGATGGTAACTTCTGTCATTTCTTACAGTTCTCCAGTCACCTTTTTGCAGTGTTTTGCGTGGAGTGTTTCTTTGTCTTCATGGTGTAGATTTTGCCACCATATTGACTCACCAAAAACCTGACCATCCAGATACACTTTATTTTTATTTATTTATTTATAGTCAGTTCAACTGCTCAAACTGTTGAACTGTGTCAACTGTTCAAATTGATTACACACAGGGGATCCATTTAACACATTTTGTGACTTTTAAAACCACTTGGCCTCACCAGGTATGATTAGTTAGTTATGATTAGATACGTATGTCTAATTAAAGGGGGTGAAACAAGTAATTTGTATTTTAAATTTGTAATTCATTTGGATCTCTTTGTAGAGATCTGCGTTCACTTTGACATTAAAGAGATTCTTTTTGTTGATCAGTGTCAAAAAAGCTACATTAAATCTACTTTGATTTAATATGGCATACTTTTTATAGGAACTATATAAAAGACTTCGCTTAATCACCACATATCTCCTGGGACTTATTGAAGAGCACAGACTCTAATGGCTTCACATGACTTGAGGATGATTTCTTCCTTTAAAACATGTCATTTTGTTTTTGTACACATACTGTAAAGTAACATATCAGTTCAACTCCACTGTAGCCTCGCCTTTTAAAGTAAACACTTGCATTGTTATAAATCACAATCATACAGCTGTGCAGGATCACAGTGGCTTCTCTGCTGTTGATAGTTTTGTGCAGGGCGTCCTCTTCCTGGTCTCAGCCGGGCTGTATCTGTGTGGGCAGCAGGAGTATCTCGGCTTCCTGGTACTTTGTCTTGCTCTCAGCTGGGTGAACCTGCTCTACTACTCCAGGGGCGACATACACATGGGCATCTACAGCATCATGATACAGAAGGTATTCCACACAGGTCACTCAGCACCACAGTGAACATCACAGTGAACAACCTGATCCCTGAAGCCTTGTGTCTCTTTTCTTCTTCGTAGATGATCCTCAGCGATATCCTGCGTTTTCTTTTTGTCTATGTCGTTTTCCTCTTTGGATTTTCAGCAGGTATTTCTCCTCTGTAAATGAAAAGATTCATTCAAGGCATCTGCTACTCTCCCAAAATTATATTATCAAGATTTTTACTTGTATTGATTTCAAAAGTAGTGTTATGACCAGGTTTTAAAGACTTTCCTGAACAAAAAGGACATACACTTCAAATAACATTGCTACTGTCAACATACCATGAATGAAGGACGTACTTTATGTAATCTGCTTCCTCTCTCGTGTCAAAGCGGTGGTCACCCTGCTCATAGAGCCTCCTGTAAAAAACACCACTGGAATTCAGAAGACGCGTCTCTATGGTCCCCTTAACCCTGATGAGGAGTGTTTAAAACCCAGCTTCAGTAACATCTCCTACACCACGCTGCAGCTCTTCAAGTTCACCATCGGCATGGGCGACATGGAGTTCACCCAGGACTACCAGTACAAGGAGATATTCTACATGCTCCTCATCGGCTACATCATTCTCACCTACATCCTGCTTCTCAACATGCTCATCGCCCTCATGAATCACACTGTGGAGAAGACCAACATGGAGAGCGCCTGCATCTGGAAGCTACAGGTGAGGCGTCCAGGAGGGTGGAGGGGGGAGGGGGTGTCCATTCAAGGCTGCTGTGGTTTGATGAGGTGCTGTGACTGTTTTCAGAGGGCTATCACTATCCTGGACATGGAGAAAAGGCTGTCTTGCTGTTTGAGGAAGAAGCTTCGCTGTGGGGTGGAGATAAAACTCTGTACTGCTCTTGGAGCTGACCGCCGCCGGTGTTTCAGGTTTGCTACTTTCAGTTTAGGGATAATACAATCAGACATGTTTTTGGTAATATGCACCACTAAAGCACATATAACTTAAAGGCCCAGTGTGTAATATTCTAGATCTAGATCTATTTGCAGAAATGCAATATAATATACATTACTATGTTTTCAGTGGTGATTAATTAACCGTTGTCTTTATTACCTTAGAATGAGACATTTCTATCTACATACACTGTGGGTCCACTTACATGGACGACGCCATGTTTTGCCACCATGTTTTTACAGTAGCCCAAACAGACAAACTGCTACACAGAGTACATCTCGCCGCTATGTTGAATACGTACAAGAAACAGTAGTATAAGTAGTAGTAGTAGTAGTCGTCGTCTGGTTTATTAGAAGTAAGAAGAGAAGTGAAATTTGGACAAATGGAGGACCACACGTCTTATTTAGCACAAGAGCCGACAGAGCATGTCGGCCACCGTAGCTTGTTTGGAAAGGGAGGGGTGAGCGGTGACTGATGGTGCATTCAAGTGGTGTCGGAATAATCCGAATTTTTTTTTGCAAAAAGAGGAATAAAGAAGTATACAGAACAGTATACAAATATTTAAGGAGACACAAATAATAAAAACTTTGCCAGGGGTAGTCTATATTATATAAAGGTATCAAAAGAGGACCACATGGTGAGTTTTCACAGCCTTTTTGTTGTTGGATTTAGAAATGAAATTGATATAAGATATTGTAGATGTCTGTGTGTTATTTATGTGCTCTGATAATCCTAATCCAACACATCTTTGTAGTAGTGTCTATGTTGATTCAACATTCTGACATAAGAGCATTTGAACACACCAAAGTCAGGAGAGTGACTTCACAACTCGGGAAAGCGGACCATCCTAGGAGAACGTGAATGCACAGCGAGCTGTTGGTTGCAATTCACAACCCTCACCACTAGATGCCACTAAAACTTACAAAGAGAACTTTGAAAATGTTCAGCTCACTTCAGTTCACTAGTGGGATGTCAAGGTCAGTCAGTCGGTTGGTCCAGACTTGGTCCATAGATGGCAATGAACATTCATGTTCCACAGAAGATCACTTCTGTAATGACTTTGTTGATCCCTGACTTTTCCTGTAGCGCCACCAAGCGGTTGACATTTGTAGTTTTGAATGAAACGTCCAAACAAATATTACATGGTCCAGACATCACGTCCTCCTCAGAGTGAATTTTTATAACTTTGCAGATCCCTTAACTTTTTGAATTTGTCCAATACTAAAAACTAATGACACTCACATCAACCTCGGATGTACTTTGTGTCTAGCACTAATAAGCAAATGTTACCAAGCTAACACGCTAACTATAATGGTGAATCATATAAACAGTATACCTGTTAAACATCAGCATGTTAGCATTGTCCTGTGAGCATGTAAGGATGCTAAATGCAAACATTCAGTTGCACTGCTGTGCCTAAGTACAGCCTCAAAGAGCAGCATGGTTATTGTCTTGTCATGTAATTTTGAGACCCTGTCTGCTAGAGGGGCTTTGTTTCCAAATCTAATTTTAATATGTCAAAATTTTAGATGATGGAATGCACTAATGGTGCACATTTCTTAAAATTGTTTCACTGGATTAACTGTTTGAAGCACAGTAAACCTGGGGAATTGCATTCAAGCAGAGAGTAGACATAATTTGTAATTGGCTACATTATTCATATGTCTACTGCAGAGGATTATTTTGTGTCCAGTTGTGCTGGATAAGACATAAATGTGCATGTGTGTCCATAATGCTTGGTGGTTGTGTAAGGTTTCCTGGTGATAGGACAGATGCTGTGATAGAGACTGTTGTCATCTGACCTACATGTTTGGCTGGTATGGTCAGGTCTTGGATTTGTTTGTGAGACAGGGTCTGCTTTTCTTATAAAGTTTAATTTCTTTTACATGTCGACTTTCCAAAACAGTTTCACCTATACAGGATGATTATCTGAGCAGCAAAGTAATAATAATAATAATAATAATAATAATAATAATGCAGAAACAAAGGTTTTAGGCTTGAAGATTTAACAAAAAGATGCATCTATATGAGCAGGATCGATTGTGTGTACACTGTGTTCTTCACTAATTTGCCATCTCTGACAGCTGATTGATGCATCACACAGCAGACAGTAATTGGAGCATGTGTCCTCTTGTCATCTCAGAGTGGAGGAAGTCAACTGGAACAAATGGAACACCAACCTCGGCAAAATCAATGAGGATCCTGGCTGCTGGGATCATGTCCAACAGCCTGCTTCAGACACCCTGCTGAACACACCCAACAGAGGTGCAGAAACATGAACGCAGACTCTTAAGTTTCTATTAGAACATGCTTTTTAGGCATTTCTTTGTGTCAGGAGAGTAAGCTGTGTCTAGTAACGTTTCCTCCTTTGTCCACAGGGAGGAGCTGGAGAAACTTAATAGAGGGCAGTCAGCGGCAGAGGTGGCAATCACACGTGTCCACAGAGATCAGCACCACACCGGTGTAAAAGATAACAGAGCGCTTAACCCCGGCTGCTCAGCCTGACTGACCCAAGCAACAAGGCATTCACACCAAAAGTTTCCCCAAGAAACTGAACTGCTAAATGTGTGACTTCCTTTTGAGTAACTGATAGTAGTCTATGATAGTAATAGTCTTTGAGGCAATGTGTTTTTCTGACATAATGGTGCAAAAAAAGTGCATTTATCAAAGCTGAAGGCTGCTTAATTGCCAATGCATTTGAAATACATTAAACATATAATGCAAAGGTTTCTGCCCCCACCTGAACAGGATGCACATCCTCTCTCCACGAAGGCCATAACCTGCCGGCACCTCTGGCATCGCTCAAAATCCTTCATGGAGTAATACTGATCACTAAGGTGCTGATCCTGCCCCCCACCGCCCCGCTGTGCGCCCTTTATACAAGTCCCATTTTCATCACAGCCAGACAAGCTAAATCTTCTGCAGCCAGATAGTCCTGCGGATTTCACAGCTTGCCTTTGTCTACTCTACTTCCTGTTTCTCTTTGGCAGTGGGAGGCTCAGATAAATGGCATGAAAGCACACCAATTGGTGCAACAAAGACCACCTACAGCACTAGCTGTCGCAGTTACAAATTAAACGTGGTTTAAATGCGCCTTTTGAACCCTCGTGAGGCTGATAATGTAAGAAACAAATGTGTGAATAGTGACCTACCTCAACTGTCAGACAGGATGACAATAGTTACTGTATCTCTCCTAGACTGAGCTCATGCAGAATGAATGGGACAGGAGAAAACTGTCACCTGTTTTCAGTGTCAGTTTAAATGAATGTTGCAGATAATCCAAACAACGGTTCCGACTCAATTCAAAGCATAAATTAGAACTTTATTTTATTATTACAATATTACAAAAAGAGTAGCACAACTCTCACACTCTTGCCTCTTATCTGTCGTACAGAATGACACAAAAGAAAGGCTTATGGACCTTCTTCCATTTCACAGCAATAGTACAAGAAACAAAGAAGAAAATAAAATTTAAATAACAAGCAAATCAAGTATTATAAATAGTCACAACTGCAAACTGAAACTTTGAAACTTGGGGAAAAAAAATGTTACAGCTCAGTAACTACACATTGCTAAAATATATAATTACAAAATATTACTCCTTTTCTTGCTTTCCATAATAAAGAATCTCTAAGGAAATGCTCTGTCTATTCAACAAAACTTTATTAAAATAAAAAGACCAGAAAAAAAAGACAAAATTGCTGTTTCTGTGTATCCTTATAATCTTCTTTCTCATTATTTGGGGTTTTCATTAAAACCATGCTCATTTTCAAGGGAAATCCAAGGACCAAACACTTAAGGCTTTTTACGGGCTGTTAGGGAGTTAGGTGAAAATAACATGGGCATCACTGTTTACACACACACACACACACACACACACACACACACACACACACACACACACCTTCACTCTACCCACAGCAGCAGGCAACATTCACACACAATCATTCAATTTTAAAGTTACAGTAGTCTAGTAGGTAAGCCAGTGTACAATAAAATAAACAATGCATTTGCTGTTTCACTTAAAAGTCAGTTTTGTTTACCTCAAAGTGATCTTGCAAGTGATCAATTTGGTCTTTTCAAGCAGACTTCACATCAGAATCAGTAGCAACTACACATAACTTAATTCACTTAAGTTCCTGCTGTCAGGATCAAAACTCTGGTTAGGCTCGTGGGACAATTCTACAGGACATTATTAACACTATTATTTCTTCTACTCCAGAGTTTTGACCTCGTAACTACCCCATCCCCTTCAATACCTGCAAAACAAATAATCTCAACATTCAAGTAATACATTTGTCATGGTTACAAAAACGATCTGAAGAGGAAACAAACATAAAATGGCACATCTTCATAACTGTGTCCTTGTTAACCCAACTTTGGCCATTTTAAGGTATGATTAATTTGTGACTTTTTCTGCACTAAACATTTTCACAATCTTGTTGCCAAACCTTCCTGGCATTGACAACAAGTTGTTTTTTTTAAACACCTGAATTCATTGCAGCATTTTCAGCAGGATAGAGCATCACCTTTTCATCATATTTGCTCCCAGCTGGATCTTTACTATGTACAAACAACCTGATTACATGCTTCCTTAACTGACAGAGATGAATCAGTCATGAATAGTCCTATTATACAAATAAATAATTACATTTAAATTCAAAAGAATAAAACTTCTGTGTACATGTGCATACCGCAAGTTTGTTTTTCCAGCTGTATTTAATAGTCTCCAGTGTCTGATGGCTTTGCACTGAAACAGGATCTGTCCTCAAATGATTATGTTTTATCTTGAAGTTACTATGAGATTTGAACGTAAACACGAAAATGAAAATTAGTCACTTGTCTAATAAAACTAGTCAGAGCTGAAAATTGACAGACATGACCCTGTAAAAAACATCCATTAGTAGATGTTGCTGTTTTTCAGTGAGGGATCTGTTTTTCGTCTTTCTTACATGCATAAGAAAACGAAAAAGTTCTGAAATAGAAATAACACAGGATCTGTTAAGACCCAGGCACACAGACAATAGAGGAAAAAGGAGGGAATGACACACACAGTACAGATGTTATGTATGTGTATACACATGCACATGAAACAGTTCCCTATAGTGCCAGGTAAAAGCACTTGTAACAAAAATTAAAGCAGCAATTGATCACTTGCAAGATTTATTTAAAAAGAACAAAAAAACCCTACTGTTCTTCATTAAATATATGAATTTACCCTCTTGAACATTAGAGATCACTTGTTTAAGTTATCAATTTAGTTTTATTCATGTGTTTCCTTTCTTAAGACTAAACAAATGGGTTTTGATAACTGTTGTGTAGACAAGGCCATAGCTTATCTGTACCCTGGGAGCTGGATGAGAGCGGTTCTGCCATCATCAACCTCTGGACCTACCCTGCTCAGAGGAGGCCTGTGCATCTTGCCCATCAACCCTAGATTCTGATCGCGGAAGTAGGGCGTCTGGAAGTCCCCACCCAAGTAATCTGCTGTTTGCATCAGATTAGTCTGGGCGGAGGAGGAGATGGAGGAGCTCGTTCCTAGCCTGTATTGGGGAGCCCCAGGAGGCCCGCAGTCTAGTGTGGTGCACCCCCCTGGGCCTGCACCATGGAATGGCATGGCTACGTCCTGAGACCCGGAGCTGTCACTGTTGGGTGTGGGTAAGATGCTGTTGTTCCAAATGTGGGACTGGAAGTAGTGACCATTAGTGTAGTGGGCCATGGGACCGGGCATGCAGCTGTTGTTGACAGGGGGAGAGGGGGTGGGCCTCTCTACGGGAGGCTTCAGTGTGTAAGGCTGACCCACACAAACCTCTGCAGGGTAGCCCATGCCCTTAAAATGGAAGGCAGGGTCCCTGGAAGGCTGCTTGCAGAGGTGGGTCGCACCATTCTGAATGTGGGGTACATGAGCCAACTGGTGTTGATTCCAAGAGCGCATTTTCTGCTGCTGTGTGTGTTGTTGTAGCTGTTGGTGCTGCAGATTCTGTTGTGGATGCAGATGCTGCTGCAGGTGGTGCTGCTGCTTGAGATCAGTGTGGTTGGAAGGCAAGTGGTTCATAGCAGCCACGCTGGATGGGGGGTGAGCTCCCACTGGGACGGTGGCTTTCTCTTGAGGACCAATAATGCAGTTGTGTGGGGGGAAGCCAGGGGTGGCAGGGTTGCTGTGCATGGACACCCTGGAGCAGGCGCTGATAAGCAGGTTGCGACTGATGGGGCTGGGGTTGGCGATCTGGCCCTCACACATGGAGGTGGCTCCTGCACCTTGGGCCCGAGCTTGGCAGAACTGGTTGATCTGATGCACAATGGTGCTCAGGTCGGCCTGGCGGCCCTGGTGCAGCGCTGCGGCCATGGAGAGTGGAATGGTTGAGGTAGAGACGGTAACATTAGGCGGTACGTCGCCATCTGGCAGCTTTCTGCTCCCCTGCAAGCCAGGTGGCGGCTGCTGCTGCTGAAGGTGCTGCTGTTGAAGCATGACGGTAGGGGGGCCCTGTGGGTGGCCAAGGGCTGGATGTTGAGACAGAGTTTGGAGTCTGGGTGGGCCCTGAGGGGGATGGGCCATGGGGGGAGGGTGTCTGAGGCTCTGGGTGTGACCCTGCTGCTGAGGGAGGGGCATCTGTAGAGTCTGAGGCGGTTCCTGTGGTTGAAGGGGTAAGCTCTGCTGGAGGCGGGGAAGGTTCGGCAGAGGTGGGTGGTGGTTTAAAGTGCTGGTCGAAGCCACTTGGTAGCGCCCGGAGGGAGGGTTCATGATGACTTCAGGGTGTAAGCGAGCTCGGGTGCCGTCAAAATCTTTTAGGATGCCTTTGACTGTGGGCACCTTGACGATAGCGAGGAGGCCCGTCTTGGCACTAGCCTGAGAGGAAGGGTAAGGGCTGTAGCGCTGGCCTGAAGTATCCAGCCCGTTGACTGTCCGGCGCACGTGGTTTCGCTGGGGGACCTTGACGCTGTTGGGGAAGATCTTGATGGTGAGTGGGTTGTTGGCAACCTTCTTAGCATATGCATCCAATTCGGCAGGGGTTGGAAACGGAGCGGATCTCATCCTTTGTGTGGTGTCCCCTAGGGTGGAGGACAAGGACAGGTCAGAGGTGAGACAGAGAGAAAGCAAGAAGAGACAGAATTGAGGGGGACGAAGAGAGTGGGGAGACAAGCACAATAAGAGAGACAACTTAATCCAGGTAGAAGTGTACATGGCACAAAAGAGCACATCAGTTGTAATCTGAGCAGCTGAGAGGAACCTGAATTGGACAGTGCTCTCATATTCCATCCCTCTGTTTTTTTCCTAAAAACCCTCACAGCTCCCATCTCATGAGGACAAAGAGAGAGATTTCCAATCTCATTCTCAGCTGAATTACTGCAGCCGACACATTCCCAGTCTAAAATCTAATTTTGTGGTGGCATCTTTAACTTTGAGGTCAGGGGCTTTAAGTGGCCTTAAATGACGTAGCGTTTGGCCAATAGACAATAAGTATGCATCTTGGGGGGAGAGCCGCGCTGTTTGCTACTCAAATACAAACTAAACAAAGAATGAGCAAGGCAGCGATGGTCCCCTGTGGCTGCTTTGGGGGGAAGGAAAGAAAGAGATAGACGCAGAGAGCAGAGCTCCATGACAGCAGACAAGTAATCAGACACAGCAGCAGCGTCTCTGATCTGCGGGAACACCTCTCAGGCCTCAGCTCGCAGACATTTGTTACACCTGCTAAGCACCATGGCTAAATTTAACAATGCCAAAGTGACAATGTGAACATGATTATGTGTTTATGCATTGTGAGCATGAAGGTGTGTTTCTTTTATGGAGCCTGTTTAAAATGTGCGACAGGATCATGCAGGTGTTGGTTCATGTGTCAGTGTCTTCTACATAATGTGCCCATTTTCAGTCTGGGTGGATGTGATTGCATGTTTCATTTTAACGCAGTGTGCCCACTTCCACTTTCTTGACTAACACAATAAAAGTCAGTGATAATCATTTTAGAGCATGACAGGCTCTTCTCCCCGCTTTCCTCTGTCTCACTGTTCCCATCACCTCGGCCCCGCCAGTCTGACCTACTTACACAGCTTTCAGACTGGACATGAGTGAAGCTGATCTGTGGGAAGGATCACTAGTCTCAATAGTGACTGAGCTACATTTAATTTACTCTTTCATTATTTTTGAGGAGGGGACTCTTCGGTTCAGGTAAAATAGATGTTGGTAATACAGCATACAGGCTACCTCTCTCTGTTGTTGAGTGAGCAGTAATTTGAAATGTCGGGATTGCTGGCAGAGGTCTGTGGTTTCATGCGGCCGTGGCCATTATGCTCAGTCTCACAGCAGACCGACTGGGCTTGAGGGATGAGGCACAGAGCTGAACCGTGAGCTCTGACACGGCTGCACCAAGAGTTGTGCCAACTGGCTAATTAATTCCCGCTTTATTTGTGAACAGGAAACAATGGGCAGCGATGTGCGGGGCCGGTCTGGAGCGGCACACGAGGGTGGGGGTGGGGGGGGGGGTGCTGTGACTAAGTGTTCAGCCTGCTGATGGCAGCCTCATTAATGCAGGGGTCTGGGCCAAGGAGCTAGAGCTCGACACCCGCCATCACTGAGGCCTAATGTCTGTCGCTGAATAAATGCCAGGGTAAGCAAACACAGATAAATGAACACTTGCACACAAGCTCACAGACATGCTGAGGATGGACTTCACCTGTCAAACACAGGTAATGATTAATTCCCTTGTTGGAAATGGGGTTTCGTATAGTGACACTGAAGCAGACTAAACTAAGACAAAGGCAGTTTGACTCAAACAATTAACATACCCAGTTTATACAGGTTACACTTAGCATACAATGTGTACCACTTTAAGCACTAAAGCTACACTTTCATAAATGAAACTTGTTTGCTATCAGTTATTAGGATATATTTACAGATTGTGAGACTGTTGTCAAAACCACATGTCATTGTAGCTGTAGAAAAGGTTGTAAGTAGGTGGGAAGAGTACCATCAGCTGTGGCAGTAAATAAAACAGCTTTTATCTTCTCATGGGAATGAGATCTTCTAGATGAAACCAGGATGGTGGACAGCATGAATGAATGTTACAGACCGCAGTAACTTTAAATGTAACAACACCTTTCAAGGATAAAGACAAGCTGTGTGGGGAAATAAAGGTGCATGTTGAGCCAACATGGAAGGGGGAAGTGAAGGTTATTATTACAAGTATGCAAGACTTATTGATCTAAACAGTCTCACATAAAGAGCTTCAACAGACATGAACAACTTTTGTTTCTGTGTAGGTTTCTAATTGGGGTCAGACTTGAACAACTAAGTCATATTTTCACAATCTGTGCATACAATAGACCCAAATAAAACTGTTAATAATATGAATATTTAGGAGAAAATAAATTTCTGAGGACACTATAAATAATGAGATGTATAAATTTAATAAAATGCCAGAAATGAATCATTCATTTATATAAAAGGTTTGTGTAATAGTAATAGTTTTGTTAATTATTAGGGAAATTGAACAATGTGCAATTTTAAAGATACAGGGAAATAAAGCTTTCACTTCCTTTGGATTGAGAAATGCAGCAAGAAAAACTGCAGCGAGCAACTGTGTTCAGTGTTATTACCTTGCCACTGGCACTTGTGTAATGAGTTTTATACTTAAGTTGTAAGACTCAGGCAAGTAGCAAAAGAAAGCAATGTCGGTGTCTGGAAACTGACCAATCCATTAAATTAGAAAAGGGATTATACATTGTTAACAAAGCTTAGGCAGGCATTTTGGGATAAAAAAAGCAAATCAGAATGGCGAGTTTAACTGAACTGCTGTAAAATGTGTAATAAAATCGGTAAATTATTGAGTAGTTTTCCCTTTTCCCTTAAAATTGATCTCTTGCTGTTCACGTCCGTTTAAGGGTTCTGGCAGATGTTGATTATGTGTTCCAGTAAACAAGTGTAGCTTATTAGCATTTCAACCTTAACCTGAAACCTGGATTAGTTGAAGAGCTTAAAGCATCAAGGGAGGGTTAATGAGGATATGAGTGAAGTTTGTAGGCGGCTGCGAGCATGTCATCTCTTAGATCTCCAGCTAAGCACGTTTCCCAGGGAGGGAACAGGGGAAAGAGGCCAGTCTGGCCATGCGTTAATTACCCCGCTGCTAGCTAGCTTGCTGGAACACAAGTGCACAGTCAGCAGGCACTAATTAGGGTTTCTTTTATTCAAACTACTGTTTTTATTGAACAAGGTTTAAGCAGCAGGGGGCAGGGGATCTTGCTGCTATAAATTGCAATTTTCACACAAGAGCAGGAAATTGGGTCTGCTGATGCTTCTGCGTCAAATCAGACATGTGAATTTAGTTTCCCACATGACGCCACCTCCATTCATTTTTACAGACATTTGAGCAGAGCATCCCATGCTGATAGATCGAGACCTTTGAAAAATGAAAAATATTATAAAGGAGAGGAAGAAAAGATGGTTGCGTTTGATCTCAGCAGGGACTGAGGTATGAAAATCAGCCAAGTGGCCCAGCTGTGTGTTCTGCCTGTAAGAACTGAGGACCAAGGGCCACTTTGTGGTACTTGAGTCATCCTACCTCTGACTGCTCCAGGAGTATAACCCAGTTTCTTCTTGACCCCACTGTCTTTTTGTGTTTCTGATATACTCTTCTGACAGTCTTTACATTTCACAGCCATCATCTGTTAATAGTCACTCCCTGATGAAAAATAGAACAGCTGCTCTGGCCTTGCCTCTGACAGCAACCTGCAAGCTCGTAACTTTAAATGTCTCTTCTATGCACAGATTCACCCGCAGGAGAGAAGGCAGAGCAAGGCGAGCATGGTGATCTGGAGCTCTTGGTGAAAACAGAGGGAGGGGAAAGTGTCAAAGACAAGATTCTGTAACACAAGACGCAGCATGAGAGTGCACTGAGCAGTTAAAAGGATAGTGCAAATGGGAACACAAATTGGAGCTAATTATGTAAACTCTCCATCTGAGCCTTTTTTTTGTGGGAACTTGTCAGTGTATTGAATAAAGATTTCAAGTGACAACTAGTCTATGAATTTCACCTAAAAGCAGTCAAGCACATCTCTCATGGAGTTAAGCTGTCAAATGATCTTCCATGCCTGGTAAAAGACGGGGCTCTGCAGAGACGAGTCCTGTCGAAAGCCAGGAGAGAGCTGGCAGAGTCTTACATGAGGGCTGAGGCCTAGGTCTAGCTGTGTGTGGCAGGAGCAGACATGCAGAAGGTGATCTACAGGGGCTGGATAGTAGTGTATACATTTTCTCTGTTCACTTTTCCTTATGGCACCCATTTCCTCATTCAAAGCGAGGGTCTAAGGACAGAGGGTGTTGCATGCTATACAGATTGTAAAGCCCCTTAAGGCACATTGTGATTTGTGATATTGGGCTATATAAATAAAAGGGACTTGACTTGATAAAAGTGATTTAGTCTAAATGAAAAACAGCTTCACGGCTTTTGATGTAACACAGTGTCTGTGAAAGGTACTTTGAAGAGCAGATGAAAAGCATTTTAAGAGAATGACGATGAGAAAAAAATAGATTGAAAGCACACTTCTAGGACCGGCCGTGCTGTGAGATGCACGCTCCATCAAGAAAAATGGATTACAGCATTGGGCAGAAAAACTAATTGAACTCCAGTTGTGCCTCGTACTATGATGTGTCTTAGTGTGTCACATAAAGGAAGAGCAGAGAAGTAGTGTAGCTGATGGCTGCACCATGTCACAAGCCTGCCTGAGTGAGGCAACAGACGTTGGCACTTAGCAGACTCCCTCACGCTTGCTGATCTCCTGGGGGTTGGCTGATTACTGTGATTCTGAAATTACAGTCTTGATGAGCTGGAGCATTTTACAAAAAAAACTGCCGCAGAAATGGGTCAAGCTGGGGCCGAGTTTCCACTCCGAGAGAAACAGGCAGGAGGAAAATGAACTGTAGACTTTTTATGATTGAATAAATAAAAGCTGACCAACTGGATGGGCTGTAATCAATGTCTGGGAAGTGATTGATCTTTTGAATATATCTAAAAAGCTCACTGTAGAAGCAAAAGAAACTGATGGTGGAGAATATGCAAGTAAGACTGTGCAGGCATCATTGAGACCACACATTATTACAAAATGTGAAAGTACATTTGTTTGTATTTAAAAAGTGAACTGACATTTCAATGATTTATCAAAGTAGGACTGTGCAAGAAAACGATAATACTATTGCAATATACTTTTCCTTAAAATAAAAATAAAAAATGTTTAATAAATGTTTGATTTAATTCATCGGACTCACAAATGAATCAGCACTTCATTAAAGATATTTCATTTGTTGAGGAAAACAAACTGACTGAAAAAAAAGTTTACTTATTTTACAAAAAAAAGATTGAAAAAAAGATTTTATCATAATATCATCATATCATTGTTTTGAAGGTTCTACCTCAGATTTGCTAAGTGATCCACTGTTTGACAAATGTAACCATAAAGAATAGTTTCAAACCACATTTAACCGTATGGTTTCTTCAGCTTTCACTCAAAAAGCAGCCTTATCCAGCCATTTATCCTGATAATTATTGATATTGAAAGATATAATTTTTTTTTACTGTGGTAAATTTTTGGCCATATCACCCAACACTAGTTCAAAGACAACAACACTGACTTATGGTTAGCATTTCCATTTGTCAGTTTGTCATACATTAATCTCACTGGTCAGAGCCAGTAAGTCTCTCACTGGTGAATGCTGACTTCAGCTCTCCATTTGTGTTGCTGCTCCTCACACTGTGAAGAGTCCAAGTTTGTCAGCAGTTGAGTTGAGAAATTTAAACACATTGAATTAACTGGGCCAGCTCTGACTGGTCTGCTGTTAAACCGGGGCAGCAGATTGCGTCTGAAATTCACTCACATTACAAGATCATAAGGGCAAAACTACTCAGCCGCAATCTGTCTGCGAGTCTGACAGTAACCGGCTCTTCCTGATGGTGAAAAGCAACCGAGACGGTCAAATCTAACACATGAATGTGGCGACAGCTTTGTGGTACGCACACAGGACCACACTTTTGTGGCAGGCCGACTCTTCAGGGGCGTTGAGGGAGGGATTAATCAGCAAATTAATGGCCCAGTTCATCCTAATTTCCCTTGAAGACAGATCTATGGTCCTTGAGCACAAAAATATTCTCGCTCCCTTTCTGCTTTTAACACAGAGCTGCAGAAGACAACCAGGCCAGGGTTGGCATGGGCATCTGACGTGGGGCGGGCAGCAGGATTGTAACAGCTTGGTTTGTTGTGTGGGATGGTGGTGGTAGTTAATTGTGTGTGTGTGTGTGTGTGTGTGTGTGTGTGTCCCGAACTCAGTACTTACATTTCTGAAGTCCAGTGTTCATCTGCGTGTGGGGGAGAAGCTGGAGGGGGAGGTCACCTGGCCCTGGCAGACAGGCCAGCATTTCACACAGACACTAATGCAACATGGGACACACACTTCTCCTCACACTGCAGAGAAAGAGAGAGGGAGAGAGGTCAGCAGTCAGACATAACTGCAAGGCAGCACATGGTGCGTGGTGATACAGAGGCTGGGTCCAGACTAATGGAACTCTGTGGCTGGTCCCTGGAGGCACAGGGCTGAGGGAGACATAGTTACCTTTCAATTAGAAACTGATTCACACCTGGAGCATCAGGTAAGGTGACATTTGATGCCAATAACAACTTCAATTAAACATCAAACAGCTGAAGTAAAACGGGCAGACTGGGCCTGAGGGGCAGGCAGCTTTAAATCGACTCAGTCCCTCCTCCTCCTCACCCTGCATGTTAGTCAGCTAGTTGGGCCCTGCTACCTGCGCTTTACCTCTCCGCCTCCACCAGACCATGGCGGAGGAAATTAATGACTCCTGTACACTCGAAAAGAACACACTCAAGAGGCCTGGCGCTGACAAGTTAGTGAGTCTCTGATCGATACTGCAGTCCTCTAGAGCGCAAAGAGGCCTTTATTTTGGGGACATTAAACAATGGAGCAGGCTGGGGCTGTGGAGAAAAGAAATGAATAAACAGGGCTACTGCTCCAATAAATGCCTGCCACTTTGTGCAATAACCTGATGTAATAGAGAGGGAGAAAACGTTAGCCATGCTCCACTTGGCTTACTGCTGTATTCAAAACACCACAGATGCTTGCTTAATCAGCACTGAAGAACAGTCAGGGAGCAAATTAAGCCTACAGAGTCTTTGCCCTCCCCTTTTGCTGCGTGGAATCAGAAGAGGGCGGCAAGTGTGCGCAGACAAACAGCGTCTATGAGAGAGGCAATTACCCACAAAACAACCTTGGCATGCCTGTCTGCCGCAGGGTGATGGCTTAAAAGTGTCTTCCCCCCTGCAGGGAGAAGAGACAAGTGGAGGAAAGAGTGACAAAGCGAGAGAGAAAGGTGGAAAGAGAGAAAGACGGGTGGCGGGTTTTGGGTGGTGGTGGGGGGCTGAACTTGCTTTAAAAAGCAGAAGCTCAAAAAGGTCAGGATGACAGCTCATTTAAATCCTCCCAGCGATAGGAGAAAAAACAAGCCTTAATGAAGCTGCCAGTTCTACACAGATACCTGAGAGTGTTGCACCTTGGGGTGCTGCAGGGGTAGGGCGGCAGGGGGGAGGAAGGGAGAAAAGGGTAGAGAGAGGGGGAGACAGGTTGGTGGTGGAGCTGCAGTCTCGAGACAGATCTGAGGATTTGGGGGGTGTTCCGTGTTGCTGATGCTGCGTCACCCTTTCTGTAGCCCAGCCTCCCACTCCTTTCACCCTCCTCCCTTCCCCTTGCTTTCTGATTTACAGCCTGGACCGCCATATGGCAGCAATCCCTGCCCTCGATTCAGCGTGTCACCATGCATTAACTTTAATTGGCCTGATATGTTATTCTTTTCCCTCGGCCTTGGAAGGATTTTTAGGTACATAGCGCCTTGATGTCAGCAGGCAAGATTTCCAGCTCTCTCTCATTTATCAGGGTGCCAAGATTTTACGCAGCGATAACAGCAATCTCTTTGACAACAGGCAGGTTTGGGGTGAAGGGAAACTAAATATCAAATGCAACAGTGCCTTTGCTACGGCTTTCAAAAGCAAAACGGTTGCAAGAGAGTGACATGGTGTGTGTGTGTGGAGGGGGGGGGGGGCACCAGCATTTGTTATAAGAACATACACATCAACACACTACAGGCAAAAAAGAGCCAACAGACCATCAGCCTACCCCCTTCCTGCCTCCCCCACAGCGCCCCTGAATGTCAGAAAGCTGTGCAGTGGGGAGTGCTGCAGCAAAGGTCAGCCTATGGTAATGCCCCAGCTGACACTTTGCTTTGCAGCGCAGCGCAGAAGGAGATGAAACCCAACAGACAGAAGCCCGACGTCTACTGACTCGCCTATCAGCACCACTGCCACAGTGACTTCAAATATACATCATACGCCAAACACTGCCGCTTTCTACAAAAGGCACCCGCCTCCACAGAGGCTTTTTCAACACATGGACTATTTGTATCAGGAGCAGGATGACTACACCTGATAGAGTGCCAAGTCCAGCCAGGGACTGAGCTCACTACAGTTGGAGGTGCCTCTCCTTAGGTCCTAATCAGCACGTGACTAGCTCGGCTGCTGGCTTCTGCTCAGTCCTAATTGCCCTCTGACCACCATGGGGGTTTATCCTGGTCTGGTCTATAGGGCTTGACTCACCCATTCAGGCAAATAGGTGTCTTCCCCAGTGGCTTAGTATCCTTTGTGCTATAGAGACACAGCCCCTCCTGTCCTGAGTGAAAACAGAGTTGCGTCTGTAGAGGCCAAGCTGAGGCAGCTGGGCCGGCCTGTGGAGCAGGGATTGGCTTGGTGGAGTTTAGCCAGGCGTCTCACACTATCAGCCCCGTGCAGACAGACACCACGGGGTTCTCAGAGTATTAGGGGGCCCCCGTGACTCGGCAAGTCTCCACTAGCTACTTACAGAACTGCAATAAAAGTGTGCGAATAACTGTGTGGCTTTCATTATAGACAAATAAAGATGAGCCGACAAAGCAGGTCTTGAGCGAATGATGTGCATCATGGCTTGTGTCGTGTGTCAAATTGCTCCCATAAAAGCTGACCTATATTTTCTTTTCATTCCTCCGTTGGGGAAGGAGAAAAAGAAAGCAAAAAAAAGTGCAAAGACGAGAAGAAGGAACAGGATAGACAGAAGCCATTTCGGAAATTAGACCAGCTGACTGCATTCATGCAGAATCTTTTGATCAATATAATCCTCATCAACTATGATCTGCATTTGCTAGATATTTTTGGGAATTGCATCAGGGTAATTGCATAGGAAATCATTTATTAAAATATCCACCAGTGGTAATGCAGGAGGAAAAGAGGACTGAGAACCAAAAATAGGCTCATTAGAAGGAGAAGCATATAACAATATTAGTGGAGAAAAACAATAATGAAAAAAAAAAAGTGAGGAGGTATGTTTGACTGCTGGTTGAATATCAACAGCTTTTTATACCAATTAAAAGCTAAAGCAATTAGCAGAACCAAGTCACCATGTTGTACATTGCTTGTGCTAACGGCTGAAGGACAGGAGAGTGGAGGAGAAAGCGGGCTGCTGTTATTTTAATTGCATGTTTACCCCCAGGTTATGGGTCTGAAATAGAGCCAAGAAAAAATGTTGCAGTGGAAATTCAATGCAACTTCACTGTGTTGATTCTCTCAGGGACAGAGAGTGAAATTACTTTTCTTTGCAAGCTGAGTCTCTGAATAGGAGGTGGAGAAAGAAAAGGAGCAAAAAGGAGAACGGCTTTTTACCCTTGAATGCCAAGCCAGAGTGTTTTGTCAAAAGAAAGAGGGGAAAAAGCCTTGGCTCTTGAACACGTTAAGAAATGACAGTATGGCCTTCATTAGCCCATCAGGTTTTACAAACAAGAGGTAGAAAAAGATTTCTGTTGCTAGCAGAGGGCCACGGGCATGTTAGGCTATGACAGGCTGGTTCACAGTCTCACACAATGGATCCTGATGACTCCAGCACATCCCAGAGGCGTTTGGGACAGGCCGTTTGCTTTTCCAGTCAGCAAAGACCCCTCGTCAACCTGGACTGTTCTCCCACACCAAAAAGAGAAAGGACGAGAGAGCGGGAGACAGCCAGAATAGTGAGCAGAAGGTGAAAAACGAAGATTTTTGGTTTCCAAGTTGCATGGGATAAAACTGTCAAACATGGAGACTGCTGCAGTAGTGTGGGAGAGGGGAAGACAGCTACTTGAAACTACTCTTCTTTAGAGAGAGGGAGGGGTGTGCGAAACAACTGGGAGGCTGTATGAACGCTCAGTAACTAAACTGATGAAAAAGTGACAGTTCCCTGAGGTGAGATGGTGGATATGGAGCGGAGAGAGACAGCATGCCCCGAGAATAATGCATAGTCCACAGCTGGATCGGCTAAATCTTTGCATACGTGTCAGTTACAGAAGGTCGGTTTCACAATGAGAACACGGGCTCTTAAGAGGAGCTGTGTCCCATGAAACTGAGAAAAGGAAACACTTCCAAAGTATGAGGACTCTTCTTATCAGACTGACCTCATTCCTCCACTCCTCCACTTTTTACATCAGTAGTTTGGATGATGTCCACAGCCCCTCACAGGGGAGATGATGACAGTAATGGTGGCGAGACAAGAGGATGAGAAAATATTGGGCAATGAGTGTCCGGGCCTGGCCTGCCTATGTCATGGCTATTTCCCGTCCAGCCAAGGTCCATTCTTCAACTTAGGGTCAGTTTCACTAATAGACACTTAAGCCCACGTGGCTTCCTGAAGAGCTCTACAAATGTGGAAGGTAGAGCTAAGTGTGCTCAGTCATGTCAAGCCTGGCCAAGGTCAAACAGGAAAGTGCTGGCAGTGCCGCATGCGTGGCATCATGAATGCCAAAATGCTGGGGCCCCTGGCTGTGCTGTTTGACAGACATGTTTACACCTGATAGAAAATGCAGTGTGGATGGCCTGCCAAAACAGAGGGGATCCAAAGTGAGGGGTGCCAGCCTAGTTATTTATTTATCTGCTGCAAATCCATCCAGAGTGCAGCCAGAAGCTGGGCATGCCTCAGTGAGGAATAAGCCAGCCTCCTCTCAGACATGACAGTCTTAAACCACTCGAGGGAAGAAAAAAAAAAAAGATCTGATGTAGTAAAAGAAAAGCAAAGCAACGATCTCATGAAGCAGCAGCTCAGGATTTGATTTACTCACACTCTTAATACATCTCACAGTAATTAATGATTAACACGAGTCAAATTAATCAGCGGCTGTTCTAAAATCATCCATGACAATGTTCAGTGGCTCGGCCTGTTCTTTCTCAGCACTTTCTCAGTAATTAAAATCAGTTGACTTGATAGTTGGAAGCAAATTCCAAAATCCATTGAATAGTTGTTGAGACAGTTCACTTAAAACCACAAATGAGAACCTGCTAGTGCTGGAGGAAAAGTCTGGGAATCACCAAAGTCATAAGGATACATCATATGGGAACCATAGTGG